TAGACAGAACTTTAATCTTACATGATCTCAGAAGATATGTTCTCATAAATAAATGCCCAATATATAAAACCAACTCCTCTAGATTGATAATCAGTGTCCTCAAAGCCTAATGCTAAAGATAAGAAGGTCCTTAGAAAAGATGTGTGAAGACATTCAAAATTGAAATAAAAGAGCTAGTCGTTTATGCAATCTAATTCTTTTGTAGGATGCTATCCATGGTGAAGTCTTAACTATTCTCTAGTTCCCCAGAGCTACCACTTTATAGTTTTTGCCCCTAGCTGATTTGTGCTTAATTTAGCTCCCTTGAAAGTCTATCCTTTTCCTGTCTTTCATTGGTTCCCTGGTCACCAGAGGCACACTTTCTCCCTCTAGTGGCTAAGAGTTCAGACACTTCAGATTCTATAGCCCTGACTCCCCAAAATTGAGGAGGTTGGACATAGGGGGCGATGGCTCCCAGATTTTACAATGGCAAAGATCTCATGATTCCCCTTGAGAATTACTATATTGGAAAACATCCCACTTTTTAACATGTCCTGTTTCTTTTTCTTTTTCAGATCATGGTGTACTAACTCACCTTGAGGAAGTCAAGACTATGTACATACGGGGATGGGGTGTTGTATTTCATGGCTCTTGTCTCATAAGGAGCACTGGTAGTGTGATGGTTAAGCCATCTGAAGGAGTGATGGTTGGAAGCTATCAGCTGCTCCAGGAAAGAACCATTGTTGCTTCCATAAACTTTGGAAACCCTATGGACCCTTCTGCTTTGTCCTATAAGGTCCCACTGAGTTGGAGTCAACTGGACAACAGGGTATAATCTCATAACTCAGTTCTGAGACTCAGTGAATTCCCCCACATGAAGGAACCTTGTGTCATCTTGTCATTCGTTTTCAGAATTTTTCAGGACAGTATTTTTGTACAACTACATTGTACATATTTTAAAAGTGCAAATATAGTTAGACCGTGCCTAGAAATGTACCATCCAGGGAGTAGCTAGCACCACACTCTTCCACTGTAGCTAGTTGGACCTCAGAGGACTACTTGCCCCTCACCATCTTTCACATAGCCGCCGCTTTGTGGCTCTCCTGGCGCAGGTTCAGCATCACCCCCAGAAAGGCCTCTTCTAACCACCATAATAAAACTGCTGCTTTTTAGAGCCAACTCCTTTCTTTCTGTCGCAACCCCTGGCACACTTTCTACGTAACACAATTCGTAAAGACATTGAGTATTAAAAAAAGAAGAGAAATCCCCCCACCCACCCATGAGAATGTGATATTATTGCTACTGCACTGGGGGGGAAAGACACCATTTCAACAATCTGTACCTATACAGTTCAGTTATTCTCTCGCTCCTTTTCCAAAAGATTCCACCGGTATTAAATGCAGAGCCGATCTATTTTGTTAACCATCGTTTTCTCAGAACTAAAGACTGGTGTTAGTTGATACTCATTGAATATGTGAATGAAGAACATGGAAGAAGTCACATACCCATCTAGATTTTAGGTGTTGAATTCTGTTTTCAAGAGGCAGAGTAGAATATCAAGAATACATTCTGATTCTATAAAATTCTGGTTCATAAATTGCATTGCAAATGGTCTTAACTGATTAA